ATACAGATAGGAAAATTATTCACAAGAAAAATACAAATAGCAGAAATAATGAAATACCATTAAACTGCCTAAAATTAAAAGGCTATTACTGTACCAGGACATGGAACAACTGGAAATCTTGTAAATTATTAGTGAAATGCAAAAAGGTACAGTCACATTGGAAAATTTCAGTGCATATTTACATACATTTTAGCAATCCCACTCTTACCCAGGAGAAATGAAAACAGGCATATTTATAGCATTTTTATTCATAAAATGTCTTAAATGAAAACAACCCAAATAAAAGTGACTGGATAAACAAACTGTACCACTTGAAGTAATGGAATACTATGCAACAGTTAAAAAGGTGCATTTGCAAAAAAATACACCTGTGATGCTCTTTATTTACTATTATGTTCAATAAAATTCCTGTGAAAACCAAAATAAAAAAAAAGGTGCATTTGCTACTGATGTATGTAACAATAAGGATATGTCTCCCAAAAATGCAAGCATAAAATGCATTGTACAGATGATCCATTTATATAATGTTCTGAAAAAGCAAAACATTGGACACTGAAAGCAGTGGCTGCAGAGGGTTGGAATAATGGGAGGAGATTGATTCAGAAGGGCTTATGGGAAAAGTTCAGGGGTTGTGGATATGTTCTGTATCTGGAATGTGGTATGCTTACACGATGGTATTCATTTATTAAAATTTGTTATGGTGATTTTATTGTGTTTAAAAACCGTTTTTTTTTTCTAAAATAAAGCCAGTTTTCAGCATCAGAAATTCATAAATTTAAGAGTAAATCAATATAAAATACTAAGAGTTAGATCAGATGTTTCCTAAATCGGGTGTTTTTTGTTTGTTTGTTTTGTCTTTGACTCAACTTAGTCTTTTACTGTACGGAAATCTTTACAAGTTAAAAAGTCTTTATTATAAGGGCTTTGTACTTTATCTTTGAGTCACTCTGTGTTACCTATGTATCATTTTTTAATTAAAGATTTATTTAAAGCCGTGGCAGTGATACAGCCAAGAGACCAAGAAAACCAACCTTTAGAAGTGGAAAAGGCAAGGGAACAAAATCTTCCCTGGAGCCTCCAAAAGAAACTTGTCCTACTGACACCTTTATTTTATGCTTTAAGACTCATTTTGGTAATTTCTAGCAATCAGACTGTAAGTCATAGTTTGTGTTATTTTAAACTTACTGTGAGCCACTCCTGGAGGTACTTTGCTCCTTAAAGATACCTTCTCTTCAAAAAAAAAAAAAAAAACCCTCTTCTGTTACCAGTTCATAGTCACATGTATTACTTTATTGATTAATATTCTAAGAACTCTGAAGATCTGTGTGTGTGTGTGTGTGTGTGTGTGTAAAAGCAAAAAATATGTAGTAGTCACACCAACTGGGTTAGAATACTTTGCCTTATAGAAAATATAGATTGTGACTTAGAAAAGAAAAAAATAGAAATTCCCAGACATTTTTCAAAGTATAACTGTCCCCTAATAACTGTAAGCTGCACATTCTATGTTTTCAGAAGGCTATCCAAGAAAAGAAGTTCCCACCAAGGATATTCTTTTGCTCCCTGGTTCAAAAACTTCGCATTCTACATGTTAGTTATCCAAGTTTTTTGCGATGTAATGATGGCAGCTACTAAAAAGTTAAAGATCTTCAGAGAGAAGTTGTTTTCTGATTTATTTAGGTACTCTAACAGCTGTATCCCCATAAAAAAATACTTGCTAACACTTGGTATCTTTTTCTTGGTGTAAGTACCTTTAATTACTTATGTAAAGTGTATTGTTAATTTTCACTTTCTGAATAGTGATAGTTACTCATAATATAGGGGCTCAATCCTTGCCTGGTGATCTGAATTGAATTTCTACCCTCTTGAGTGTGGATTCTTTACCATACATGTCACAGTTCACGGTATTTATGCTCAAATGTTTATGAACAAGATCAAAAATTGTATGTAAAATATAATCTCAGTTTTGCTCCACATTGAAAGCAGTTTCAAAGGAAGTATGTTATGTTCATGTTATTAGATGGATAGCAGGATTGGGGTGTGGGTGTCTTAAAACTTTTCTGTGTTCCCCAGAGTCATGTGAACATTATTGCTGGCTATGGCCTATAGCATACCCAATTCTTGGGTACCTGGTACAGCCAGTATTTTAAGCCCAGACATACAACATACTGTTCTTGCCCAGACTTGTGATTGAATATCTAGTAGCAATAGCTGCTTTACACCAGCACAGTCTAAAGCATTCCCCAAGAGTGAGTCAAACTGTCAACATTGCCTTGTTTATTCCTGTAACACATGTACTGAATGGCTGATATTGCCAAGCTATTTTAGTTATATTAAGCATTAAGGTAAGCCAAATAGATACGGCCCTTAGACTTGTTTTGCTTCAGAGATATAATGTATCAGATGCTACAGGAGTGAGCACAAGGCAGGGGAGAACCAGATTTGGTTGAAAGGTTCAGGAAAGGCTGAGATACCAAAACTGAGAGGAGTTAGCGAGATAGAATAAGAATATGCCATATGGAGAAATTTTCATGGCAAGGATCAAGGAGCAGCAGAGAATATAAGAACTAAAGGAGACCTGTGTCGGTCTGATGCAACCAGGTGAACTGGGAGAGACCAAACAAGACCAAGAGAAAAGCAATATGGGTGTGGTCCTGTGAATTGCATCATGAGAAAGCTTTATCTGTGCCCAAAGTGAGTAACCGCCTCCATCCCTTAAAAACAGAAAGTCCCTCTACACAGTGTTATGGCCCTCCACACAGAGTGTTATGATCTCACAGCCACTTTTTAAAAAATTGTGATATTATAACCATAGATAACTAGTATACATCATCACTACCCTGAGGGAACTTGGTCTTTCTATACTGCACACATAAATGTAGAACAAATGCATGTTTTGAGGAAAGTAAGAAGTGCACACTAGGTTTCAGTGTTTAAATTGGATTATCCATCTACCACAGGATACACAAGTGTTCCAGTTGTATGACTTGTGAATTGGGAGTCTCCGGCATTAGATTTTACTTGTGATTCTACAGCCAAGTGTTTGGGATGACATTTCTTTCATAGATTGGCAGTAAATGAGCCTTTCATTTGTTAATCCCTCTTCCCCCCCCCATTAATTTCTTATTGTAATTAGAATAAATATTTCTAAAATTGCCAGTAAAGCTTAGAAAAAAGATAAAAAGATCTAGCATGTGTTCATAATCTGTATGGTTATAGTCTAGTGCAGTTAATACTCTATTACTGTCAGCATGTGATTTCACTGACGAATTTTCACTTTTGGTTACTGATAAGACATTACTATAAGGGAAATGTCTTTGAGTGCCGTGCTTGCTTACTTACATTCGCTATTGCCATAATGTTCTCTTGTAAGTGATTCTTCTCCTAAATCAGGATACCTCATTTGCTATCTAAAAATCATTACAGGATGAAAACTAGTGTCTTTTTGAAATGTATTTAATTACTATCTCTATAATTTTTTTTTAAAGATTTATTTTATTTGTACATACAGAAGGGGGGTACAGGCCAGAGGCTCAGGGGCGGTGAGAGGCTTCACCAGAGACAGAGTGGGGAGCAGAACAGGCAGATCGACGAAGTACACTGCTGAGGGGAGCAGCGGGCGGGTCAGGAGAGGTCTGCCACGCCATGTGGTCTCCTCCGGGGCAGGCGGGAATCGAACTCGTGCGGAAGTGGCTTTAGCTTCTCAGTGCAGTGCTTTAACCCACTGCGCCACCAGGGAGGGCCGCTATCTCTATAATTTAATTTTTATTCATCAGCAGTTACATATATATGTATATATGTTTTTTTAAGATTTATTTATTTGTGCATACAGAACTGGGGTACAGGCCAGAGGTGCAGGGGTGGTGAGAGGATTCTCCAGATACAGTGGGGAGCAGAACAGGCATATTGACAAAGTACATTGCTGAGGGTAGCAGCAGGCATGTCATAAGAGGTATGCTGTGCCTTGTGGGTCACCTTCTGGGGCAGGGATCAAACTCATGCTGAAGTGGCTTTAACTTCTTTGTGCTTTAACCCACTGCGCCACCAGGGAGGACCCGGAAGTTAAATATTTTTTAGTAGAGGTAATCTTGGGATATCCCCCTCAGTATCAACACCATGGTCCACCCAATCCAAATCATCCATAGACCACCACCATAGAGTCCACTGTGTTTCTTTCCTTCCTTGTTCTTACCCTCCCCCACCCAGTTCTCCATCTGGATGCTTCACTTCCACTTCGATAGTCGGCTTTCAAGGGTTAGTTTTAAACCTTGTCTTTATATGACCTTTTTTTTTCTTTCTGTATTTCACATATTAGAGACACTATCTGGTATTTATCTTTCTCCTTGTGACTGATTTCACTCACCCATTTTCCTTCCAGTTCTATCCATGTTGCCACAAGTGGCATGAGTTTGTCTTTTTTGATCACTGAGTAAATATTACATTGCACATATGTACTGAATCATTAATCTGCTCATCTGTTTTGGGACATTTAGGTTTTTTCCATAGTTTGGCTATTGTAAATAGTACTGCAATGATGGGGGAGTGTAATTTCCCTTTTGAATTTGAGTTTTTGAATTTTGGGGAGATAGATGCCTAGTGGTGGAGTACTGGGTCATGTGGCAGATCCATTTTTATCCATTTTGTATCTTGAGCCTGACTCTTAACCTACAAAGGAATTCTTTTTTTTTTTTTTAAGATTTATTTATTTTGTGCATACAGAACTGGGGTACAGGCCAGAGATGCGGAGGGAGAGAGGATTCACCATAGACAGAGTGGGGAGCAGAACAGGCAGATCAACGAAGTACACTGCTGAGGGGAGCAGCGGGCGGGTCAGGAGAGGTCTGCCGCGCCATGTGGTCACCTCAGGGGCAGGCAGGGATCGAACTCATGCGGAAGTGGCTTTAGCTTCTCAGTGCTGTGCTTTAACCCGCTGCGCCACCAGGGAGGGCCCTACAAAGGAATTCTAAAGAAGAATACACTAAGCATTACTTTTTCTTTCTTAGATTGTTCTTAACCCTTTGGCAAGAACAAAATGGCCACAAATAAGCCCAAGGGTCAGAATTCCTTGGCTTTACACAAAGTCATCATGGTGGGCAGTGGAGGTGTGGGCAAGTCTGCTTTGACTCTACAGTTCATGTATGATGAGGTAAGTGCTTATTTTATATGGAGATAAAAGTCTGGGTCTTTTGTACTTCATTAGTGTTGGTGCTATTTTGGATGTATTCCTTAGTACTTGAACAAGCTGCTAATTTTTTTTAACCATTTTAAAATTCAAAACCAACATTTATATACTCCTTAATAAGAACTCAAGGACTCTCAAGAAACTTACACCTTAAAAAAAAAACTGGAAATAAAAAAACTGCCAATTTTTGACAACCTAACTTCAGATTTTTATTTCCAGAATATTAATATAGAGTTCCACTTTAAATTAATAGAAATGGTAGATACAGTATCTAATCACAACTTGAATTTGGACTGTAGGCATACACATTACATCATGTATACATACATTAATAATTTCAGTAATTTTCACATGAAAATTTATATTTAGTCAAATAGGAAGTGGTTCTTACACATTTGGTAAAGTACGTCAAATGGTTTTTTCAAATATAGTATTTTAAGTGGAGAGAAAGAGGGAGAGCAGTTTTCAACCTGCAAACAGCCTGGAACTAAAAGTTCTATCCCCACTTTTTATAAATGATGCAACTGCCAAAATGCCCAACGTGAAATTTTAAATTAATGCAATTTTTACGATCAAGGAAAACTGAATGAAGGGTACTAGAACTTCTTTGTACAATTTTATATAGTACTCTGCAAAATTTTATGTGAATCTATATTTTCAAATAGTTTTTGTAAAATAAAGATAAGTTTATGATGGATGTTCTTCTCGCATTTTCTAGTTTGTGGAAGACTATGAACCTACCAAAGCAGACAGCTACCGAAAGAAAGTAGTGCTGGATGGGGAAGAAGTGCAGATCGATATTTTGGATACAGCTGGGCAGGAGGACTATGCTGCAATTAGAGACAACTACTTCCGGAGTGGAGAGGGTTTTCTCTGTGTCTTCTCCATTACAGAAATGGAATCCTTTGCAGCCACAGCTGACTTCAGGTATGTCAGGAAGTAATGTTGCTCTAACGTATGGTATCACAATTTCTTCCCAGAATCAGGTAGACAAGTAGAAGTTCTTACTTGTTACTTCTTCACTCTGTGTCTAATTGTGTTCTCAGAGTTTGGGTCAATGCACTGTCCTGACACTCAGACGTTCAGTATACCTTGCAAAGTTTTGCAGCTACCCCAATACTGACTGCATAGCAACTTGACTTTATGACAGCCTCAGTACATAAAATCTCTTTATGCATTGTTAAAATATTTCTATTTGGAATGCACTACTAATTTTGCCTTAATAGTTAACACTTGCATCACATAATGGAACTCAGGTGCAAATTTTAAATCTGCTCTTGTATAATGCTGGACAGGCACATTACTATGCTTTTCATAGTCTGAATTTTTTTTTTTTTTTTGGAAAACAATGTTTATATTTTTTTTTATTTTTTTTTTTTAAAGATTCATTTATTTATTCATACAGAACTGGGGTACAGGCCAGAGATGGGGAGGGTGAGAGGATTCACCAGAGACAGAGTGGGGAGCAGAACAGGCAGATCTACGAAGTACACTGCTGAGGGGAGCAGCGGGCGGGCCAGGAGAGGTCTGCCACACCATGTGGATCTCCTCCGGGGCAGGCAGGCGGGATCGAACTCATGCGGAAGTGGCCCAAGCCTCTCAGTGCTGTGCCTCAACCCGCCACGCCACCAGGGAGGGCCCCATAGTCTGAATTTTTAATACAAAAGAAAAACTAGATTGGCACACTATGTCAGACTATTTCTTATGTCTTAAGGAACTATTTCATAATCAAAATCTGCACTACATTTAGTTTGCAGGGAAGATATTGGAAAGGTAGAGATGGATTCTTTCTGTATTTAAGAGAAATATGGTATTAATAAACTCTTAAGTAGTTTTACATGCATAATCAAAAGTGTTCTTAATTATATATTCTATTTCCTTGCTGAGTGTCTGCTTTGGTATGGTGGACACGAAGCATATATGTGTCCTCTGTTTTCAAGGTTCATACAGCCTCATTGAATAAGGCATGGGATCAGGAGCTATTTAGTGACAAAATAAAAGACATGGTCAGTGATCATCACAGGGGACCCAGGAGAGCAGAGATGCTGCAAGGCCTTCATGCAATAGATGAGCCTGAAAGAGCAGGAAAAAACTAATTGCAGGTAGCTGAGAAAAAAATCTGACCTTAAACTTATACAAAGCATTCTTTTTTGTGGACTCTTGAAAGTCTCAAGAACTTAAAGAATTCTAAAAAGACATTCTTTGCAAAAGAGCATGTTGTTGAGAAACTTTACAGTAGACTCATTTGCAAATTTAAATGTGTTGGTTTCTATAAGGAAGGAGTTTTGATTGTGATAAAGTGCAGAGGGTGGCAGAGCCTGGTTATTTGTAATCCTGAGAAACAAGTTGAACATTATATAAACTTCAATGCTTATTCATTCTCTCAACAATTATTTTGGTGCTTATTGTATATAGCAGGCCCTGTTCTAGAAAATGGAATAAATTTTTTGTCGCCATACTCACCAAAGCCAAAGTGATGTTCCATGGGAATGAGGTCTTTTTATGCCACGAGAGAATCTTGCACTTTAGTTATTATGCAAAATATGTACATTATTCATTAATCTTTATGTTTCCCTTCCCATAAATAAAAATGGTCCTGGCGATTCTTCAGCAGTAAGGGAGGCATTTTTAAGATGGTCTTAAGTTGCTAGATTAGGTACACTGTCGAGTCTGCCATGCAAAGTGTAGCACAAATAACAGATCCTCAAAGTTCAATCCCCCCAGCCCAAGAGCTAACCCACATGGTGTGCAGACCTCTCCTGTATTGCCTGCTGCTCCCTTCAGTGTATTTCATTCAATCAACCTGTTCTACTCCCGACTCTGTCTCTGATGAACCCTCTCACTCCTTGTACCTCTGGCCTACACACCAGTTACTCTACACAAAAAAGAAAAAAGAAAAAAAAAATATCAGTTCCTGACTTTAGCCTTCCTACTCCTTCCATCACCCAGACAGAATTCAGTGTTTCCTCATCTGTGTGTGCAACCTAATTGTGACAGTAACACAACTACCATACTTCTTTTATTCTTCCACCAAACCACCTGTGCCTGTGCCCAATCACCTAACCACTATCAAGGTAAAATCTCTTGAGATCTGGGCTCATTTCTTACCCATCTCACTATCCATAGTACCCATATTTGGCACAATTGTTAACATAAAACATACAGTGATACTTAGTAAAACATTGATCATTGATATAAGGTTAGAAAACTCAGAAGTTCCTTTTATCTTTTTTGGTTTTGTCTTTCCTTGTGTCAAAAATAAAGACAGTTTGTAAAGGTACTTTCCTATTCTAAAATTCTATAGTAACCTCTAAAACTTAACTCATTTAAAGAGACTATCATATTAAGCAAAATGTGTATGCAGATTGTAGACAACCAGTTGCCATATTTTGACACCCAAGCAAGTAGCTACTAAACTAACTTTAGAATATTATCTTTTTCCTTCTGCAGCAGGTAGGTCTACATTTTCATAGCCATGTTTCTGAGAGCAGTAATTGCACTGTTAATTTCAGTCTTGGTCTTCCTATAGTACTTGATTCAGCATACCTAAAACAAATTAACAAAGAAAATGTTTGTTAAAAAATAACTAAATTAGGCCCTCCCTGGTGGCGCAGCGGGTTAAAGCACAGCACTGAGAAGCTAAAGCCACTGCAGCATGAGTTCGATTCCCGCCTGCCCCGGAGGTGACCACATGGCACAGCAGACCTCTCCTGACCCGCCCGCTGCTCCCCTCCGCAGTGTACCTTGTCAGTCAGCCTGTTCTGCTCCCCATCTTGTCTGTGGTGACTCCTCTCACCGCCCCTACACGTCTGGCCTATACCCCAGTTCTGTATTTACAAGTAAATAAATCTTTAAAAAAAAAACAAAACAACTAAATTAGCTATGATGATGGCACAGGATGATTTGGTGATGGAAAGCCCACGGGGAGTAAAAAAAAATGCACAAAATGATGTAAAAATAAACTAATATGTATTAAAAAAAAATAAGTAAATTGGGCCCTCCCTGGTGGTGCATTGGGTAAAAGCAGCACTAAGAAGCTAAAGCCACTTCAGTATTAGTTTGATCCCTGCCCCAGAGGTGACTAACATGGCATGACTTTCCTCTCCCGCTCCCCTCAGCAGTGTACCTCGTCAGCCTGTTCTGCTCCCCACTCTGACTCTGGTGAATCCTCTCACCTCCCCTGCACCTCTGGCCTGTACCCCAGTTCTGTATACATAAATAAATCTTTTTAAAAAAATAAATAAGTAAATTAATGAATATATTTACATATACACATGGCCAGAAGTGCTGTAGTCACAAAAACTTGAATCAGTCTCACATTCCTGGGCATTAGTAAGACCCAATAGTAAGTCACTTGGTAACGCCTTAATTTAGCTCACAAAGGAAACTGGTTAGGAAGGTAAGAGCAAAGTTGTTAGTAAACCTGAAAAAGATGATTGGCAGATCCTTTTAAAATGCGACATAGATTTGATAACAATACTAGTGAGTGTTGACAGGCTCTTTGCAAGAATTCATGTGAGTGGTTGGAAAAACAGCACTCTGGAATACTGCACAGCTTAGCACATGTGGTGCCATTTTACTTTCTCAAAGGATGTTTCAAGTTTGTGCAAACCAGTGAAGGATGGAGCTGATATGTGTCATCCATGTCATGTTAAACAAACTAAGAATCCAAAGAACTTCTGAAAGCAATGAGTTGTTAGAATGTTTGCTGTTCTGTAGTCAGGTGAATGCAGTAATAAGAAAATAACACAGTAGCATTAGTTAATATTCATACAGTGCTTACATGTACCAGACACTGCACTAAACATTAACATGGATAAGGTGGACACTGCCATATTCCATAGATTCTAAGACATACATTTTTCAATTTTATCGTATTTCAAAATCAGGAATGTATCTACTAATAATGTTACATCTAGTTACAGTTGGCAGCAGTTTGTCTTAGAGGTACATAAAATAAGGCTAAATTACAATTACTAATTTCTTAAATGTGAATATTTGAAAAGTATTATCCACATTTATATATGAAAACCTGAAGCACAGAAGGTTACCCACAGCCATGTTATTAGTGATGACTGAGCAGCTACAATCTAAAAGGTTGACTCCATATTCTTGCTTTTAATCTCTCTGCTGAACTGGCAGAGGCAGGCTCATGGATAACACCATATGGCTGCCAGCACTCATGTTGTTAACATGGAATGAACTTTCTTTTCACACTCTAGCCCTTTTCCCTACTGTGTGTGTGTGGGGGGGGGGTGGAGGGGGCCTTGGGTTTTTTTTTTTATGTTTAAGTGTTTTTATGTGGGATATTGGTTTCTAGTTATATAATTAAAGTACTCTCTGGCATTGTGTTACTCTACCACTACTTTGTTAGTATCAACATTTAGCACTCAACTTTAACAACTCACTGAAAACATTTTTTCAGAAAGGTAAAGTTTTCTGTATATATGATCATTTCTTCCCTTCCACCTTTCTTTTACGTCATATTCATCCATAGGTGATCTGATCACTATATGTAATAAAAGACATTTTCCTCTGCCAGTTGCTTACTTTGCCACGGAAGGAAATTGCCTTATATCATGAGGAACCTCACCATAATGCTCAATGAACATCTTGGTTTTCATTTCACATCAGAGGTGGGGATGGGGGGTCTCATGGTGAAAAATTTGGAGCAACTAATAATCTTCAAGCTGGATTTGTTCCCATAGATACTTTATATATGAGGAAGCCCCTAATAGCTAGTATAGGAGTTGTAGGTTTGCTCTAAAGTTAAATTTTTCAGATTCGCATCCTAATTCTTAACTGTAACTCTGAGTAAATTACCTAATTTCTCTGTCCCTCAATTTCCTTACCTGTAGTAGGTTATGATATAACAAGCACTTCAAACTGTGCCTGGCACTTTGGGAACACTCAGTAAATGTTACCAGCAGTGGGATGGTGGTAATTATCAGGAGACATTGTCTGAGAAGCACAAAATAGACTAATTTGAAAATAAGCCATGGCAGAGATTTATATTCAGTCACAAACATCACTGTAAGATTCCTACAAAATCAGATGTGTTTTGCTGATCTGCCTTTCTGATAATCTCTTTTACTCATTTTCTTTTAATCTAACATAATCATTTCCTTATAAATTTCAACATCTCATAATCTCAAAGGAGAAATATCTGTAAGATAGGAAACCTGAGTCTCATATCTTTTCTCTTAATTTCTCCAGTAGGTTAATAATACTCATTACAAACAGGTAACATTTGCTGAGTATTTATTATGTGCCAGGCACAGTTCTAGGCAGTTTTACATTTAATTCTCATAGCAGTCACATAAGGTAGGTCCTGTTGTTAGTCCCATTTTACTACAAGTGAAGGAATTAAAACAAAGAAGTATTTTACTCGATTAACATGACAAAAACAGAGCCATGATATCTTTAATATTGGTAGTACTTTCATAACAAAGCTTATTTCCAAATGCAAAATCTGTAAGAGTTGACTTTTAGATATTTCTGGTATCTATAGGACTTTAAAAACACTTAATAGACCATTATTATGATATAAGAGCAATACCTTTTTTTTAAGATTTATTTATTTGTGCATAGAGAACTGGGGTACAGGCCAGAGACTCAGGGTTGGCAAAAGACTTCACCAGAGACAGAGTGAAGAGCAGAACAGGCAGACTGATGGAGTACACTGCTGAGGGGAGCAGCAGGCGGGTCAGGAGAGGTCTGCCACACCATGTGGTCACCTCCGGGGCAGGCGGGAATCGAACTCATGCGGAAGTGGTTTCAGCGTCTTAGTGCAGTGCTTTAACCCGCTGCGCCACCAGGGAGGGCCTACCTTTTTTTTGTTTTTTTTTTTTAATCAGACTCATACCATTTGTAGCAACATGGATTAAGCTGGCAGGGATTATGCTAGCTGAAATAAGTCTGAAGAAAAATGATAAATATTGGATGGTCTCACTTGTATGTGGGATAGAGAAACCAAGCAGGTCAAGGAAAGGTCAAAACTAGGGCCTCCCTAGTAGCACATGGGCTTAAATGCAGCATTATGAAGCACTTAGCAGCCATTGTGGCACCTGCCAGGGAGCTGACCCCCAAGGGCACAACAGACCTCTCCTGTCTTACCTGCTACTCCCCTCAGCAGTGTATTTCAGTAGATTTGCCTGTTCTGCTCCCCACTTTGTCTCTGGTCAATCCTCTCATGCTCCACACACATCCCTCAGCTCCTCTGGCCTACACCCCAGTTCTTGTATGCATAAGTAAATAAATCTTTTTTAAAAAAGGCCCGAGCTAGCAAGCTGACCATAGATCTGTGGCATCCAGCAAGGGAGGTAGAGAAGAGGAGGTCAAAACAGGGGAGGGAAGTGCACAAAGGACTGCGGTGATGGTTATGAGTGCTATGGTGGTAGGAAAACTATGGGGACTGCAAGGAAGTAAGAAAAAATAATTAATTAAAAATAAAAGAATAGCGGCCCTCCCTGGTGGCGCAGCGGGTTAAAGCACAGCACTGAGAATCTGAAGCCACTTCCGCATGAGTTCGATTCCCGCCTGCCGCCTGCCCCGGAGGAGACCACATGGCGTGGCAGACCTCTCCTGACCTGCCCGCTGCTCCCCTCAGCAGTGTACTTCGTCGATCTGCCTGTTCTGCTCCCCACTCTGTCTCTGGTGAAGCCTCTCACCGTTCCTGAGCCTCTGGCCTGTACCCCAGTTCTGTATGAATAAATAAATAAATCTTAAAAAAAATAAAAATAAAAATAAAAAAATAAAAGAATAGCACTCTCCCCTTCTGTGGTCTTCCTCCCTAAGACTCTTTACCCCTGTTTAATCATGAGAATAACAGGCAAATCCCAGTTAAGAGACAGTCTATAAATGGCCTAACTAGTACTTTTCAAAATTGTCAATTTCATTCAAAACATGGAAAGTCTGCAAACTGTCAAAGCCAAATGAAGTCTAAAACAGTTATGATGACTAAATGTTACGTGGTTTCCTAGTTGGGATTGTAGAACAGAAAAAAAGGCTTTAGATGAAGACTGAGACTATCTGAATTAAATTTGGGCTTTAGATGATGAGGCATCAGATTTGGCTTGTTACTGACAATAGATGTACCAAACTGAAGTAAAATGTTACTAGGGAAAGCAGAGTGTGAGGTATACGGAAACTCTGTGCTACCCTCACAACTTTGCTGCAAATCTAACCCATTCCAATATACATTCATTTTTAAAAAGAGTTAATGGGGAAGTTGGATTTTATACTTTATCTTATATCACTTTGCTTGATATTTAACTCATACTGCTTTCTTTATACCCTTTGGCATATAGTTCCTTCTTTAGTGATTATGTAGCTCAAATAACTGATGGTAGAATTAAGAAGTGCTACTTATTTCCAACCATCTAATAAATGCGCTAAATGTTATAATATAGAAAGCTAAATAAATATTAATCACAGAGGAAGTGTGTTTTGTCATTTTAACATATAGAGGTGATGGTATTTATCATTTTTTCTTATCCAGGGAGCAGATTTTAAGAGTAAAAGAAGATGAAAATGTTCCATTCCTGCTTGTTGGTAACAAATCAGATTTAGAAGATAAAAGGCAGGTGTCTGTAGAAGAGGCAAAAACCAGAGCTGATCAGTGGAATGTGAACTATGTGGAAACATCTGCTAAAACGCGAGCTAATGTTGATAAGGTAAAAGGCGGTTTCTTCTACCTCACTCTAGAAATAGGTTGGTTTTCTTTAATTCAGTTCCACTTGGTATAGTGATTCTGTGAGAATTTCAAATAGAGATTCAATACATGTTGACTTTTTTCAACACTGAAAGCTGCAGTACATCATGGTAAATTTCTCACTTTGCCTTGTTCTTAGGTTCCCAAGAGGTGATAAAACATGAGGCATTACAGCTACATGTACTTTTTTTTTTTTTAGAACTGACATATTCCTGACCCAAATCTTTACCTTTTTTTCTTTCTTATCCTGACTGGCTGGACAGTTTAGAAGGAATTGTGTGCATTCTTTGAGCCTACCCAGAAGCACTTAAGTTCTTAAGAAAGTGAAAGTACTCCCAAAATGAAGGCTGCTCCAGATAGGAGAATTTTAAAATGTAGATAAGTATAGCCTGTTTTCCCTGAGTGGAAAAGGAACCCTCTTGTTCCTTTGTTGCCCCATTTTATTCATTTTTGGAGATCTGGTGAGCACAATTTTATACTGTGTGGCTAGGAGCCTGCCTGAATGCATTTCTTCCTGCTGCCAGAAACCATCTTCAGTATTTAGAAGAAATGTCCACCGGCACAGTTCTAAGGAAGTACAGATTCTAAAAGCACTCCCTAAAGAGCTTTTTTAACCCTCAGCTATCTATGCTCCCTAAAGTATCGCTCAGATTCTAACATGCAAGAAAATTAACGAGAAAGTTTGATCAACAGATTCCTGAGTCTTAATTCCAGATATTTTGACTTGATCTGGGTTGGAGAATTCTCATCTCTAGCACACGTCCATGTGGACCAATGAAACACACTTAGAGGTAGCCTCAAATTTTAGTGAACTTGTCTGTTTGTACCTGTATATTTATAACCCTGATCCAGAAAAATCATTAAGTTAAAAAATATATGTATGAAAATGCTTTTATTCATTTTCCGTAGGTCTGAAGACAGTGTCATGATTGTCTTAAGCTAATTCAATGATTAGTTATGTGGTGAGATTCCTGTAGGTTCAAGAATATACAAAACGAGTACCATGCTGTTTCAACTCAGTGTTCAGTTTTCTCTGAAGTTAAGACATGGTTTTAGGGGATATATTTTAAGGTTCAATGTATTTGGGATTCAAAAAGGCAACATTGAGCATAGCATGTATATATTTTGTTTCCTCATAAACAATGTCTTCTACAGGTTGTAAGACATACTCTTCAACCCACTTGAACTAAGGGGAGTTGGGAAGAGAAGTGAACAGTAACAGTAACCATACAAGCTATGAAGCTGTAATTGTAACAGTCCTTATGGTATCTCCTGCTGGCATCAGAGGCCCTAGGAAAGTATGAAGGTGTGCAATTTGAGAGCTTTCACAAGACAGTAAGAAAAAGAGCAACAACTCAATGGGAAATAGTCAAAGACATAAACCAGTATGTCATAGAAAAGAAATGCAAATCATTTTTAAACTTGAACAGACTTAGTCTCATTTATAAAAAGGGAAGTTAAATTTTAAATATGGGGTTTTTTTCAACCTGTCACATTAGAAAAAAAACCATAAGGATGATACTATACTATTGGCAAGAGTATAGAAAAACAGAAACTGTCATGTTTATGGAAGGGCAGTTTAGCTACTACCTATCAAAAGTATGACCACACTAATAAAATTATAAAGATGTATAGATAAAATAACATCCACACCTAAGTATATCTTCAGTGGTCTTTATTGGAGTATTATTTATAACAACAAAAGACTAGAAATACCCCATTGCCTAATAACGGACTTGGGTTCATTTTAGTGTATTCATATAATGGAGGCCTATAAAAAGAAATGAAGATAGAACTAAATGCACTAATATAGAATGATCTTCTACATAAATTGAGAGAAAAAAATACAGAATAGTATTTTTTTGTTTGTTTATTTGTGTGTGTGTTTGTGTGTGTATTTTTTTTTTTTAACATCACTGTTCTCAGGTGTAACTCCCACAGAATTCCCATCTCCTAGTCACCTGTGAACCATCACAATAGTCCCTTTTGCTCTTCCCTCCCTCATTCTGACCCCTCTTCATCCCCCTCTCCTGCCAGATGTTTTTGGTTTAGCTTTTGCTCCTAGTTTTGATTTTGTTTTTACCTGATCCCTTGTTTCATTCCCTTATATTGCTCCTATAAGTGAAGCCATCCAATATTATTATTTTCCCTTCTGACTTATTTCACTGAGCATAATCCCTTCTAACTCCATCCATGTTGCTGCAAATGGCAATGCCTAAAAACAGATGACTGGATAAAAAAGGTGTGGTAAATGCACACAATGGAATACTATTCACCAGTCAAAATAGAACAATTTAATGCTAACTGTGTTTTTAATATAAGCACAAGTATGTATCATAGGGATATATAAGGCTCTAAGTCACAGGTGTGTGCTTTTTTCACTATAAATGCCCTTTTGGACTTCCATGTTTAATTTTGTTTTTGTAATGGGCCATATATTTTCCCAATAATATATGCATCTGCTGGGCCCTCCCTGGTGGCACAGCAGTTTAAAGCACAGCACTAAGAAGCTTAAGCCACTTCCGCATGAGTTCGATCCCACCTGCCCCGGAGGAGATCCACATGGCATGGCAGACCTCTCCTGACCCGCCTGCTGCTCCCCTCAGCAGTGTACTTCGTCAATCCGCCTGTTCTGCTCCCCACTCTGTCTCTGGTGAATCCTCTCACCCTCCGCATCTCTGGCATGTACCCCAGTTCTATATGAAAAAAAAAAATATATATATATATATATACACATATGCATCTGCTACTTTTCAAAAGAGAAAAACTATAGCAGGATTAGTTACTATGCCCTTAGTTACTATGGTTGTAGAACAAAATACATACCAAAAAATAATGAGTGGAGCCATTTATTATGGCAATAGAATCTATGGAACAAAAATTTGAACTGGGTACAGTGAAATGACTTCTTATCCACTCCATCTGGCTGGTACTGCAGTGAAAAGCTTGAAATCTAAGCATCAGAATTATCTCAGCTTATGTTGTAAAGACTTGTTTAAATATAATCTGGTTTAGTCATTGATACTTGCTGTTGTCCAGGAATGCCTCAGTTCCTCTCATGTGACCTCTTCTGAATGTTCTAAATTAGACTTTCTCACAGCAGGGTAGAAGGGTTCTCTTGTCAACTACCACAAAAGACTAAGAACCAGGCAGAAATCATAATCACCTTATATGAGCTAGCCTCAGAAATTACCTTGCATTGTTTCTGCCTTGTTTCTGTTGGTCCAGGTAGTCACAAAGTCTTCCCTTCCTCCTGCCCCTTCCCCCAGGTTCAGGAGGAAGGGGAATAAACTCTACCTCTCAACAGAGAGGCAAGATTCTGAAAAGGCACATAGGAAATATTGCCATTGCCTGTTTTGAAAAATGCAGTCACAGTTGATGATCACTTCTCCAAAAGAGAATTACATTATGAAACTGTTTGTAAACAGAGGTACAACTTCATTCTGAAAGCTAATTTCTCATAATGCTATATCCTAAAGAATGCCTTCCAGATAAAGTACCTCAGTGACTAAATAAGAGTGACTTGGCAATAACTATTCAGTTTCTAGACTTGAATTATATTTGATTATTTGTTGAGAAAATACTGTGATAATTATAAGAGTTAGTATTTGTTAGTACTTCTAAGATACTGGCTAGCAATAGCATTTTGTATTTTATCCTGTCTTTAACCCTCCTCTAGCATAAGAGTTGCTGCTCTTCTACTAGTCAGTTTTTTAGATGAGGAAACTGAGATGTTGAGGGATTAAATAATCTGTTCAGGGCCCAGTGTTGGTGGTTCTATCTGCTGGCTTGTATGTGACTAACTCTAATGCCCTGTTCTTCTTGCTGTCTCCCTCAAAACAGTGTTTGCAATGCCTACAATATTGTATATCATCTACTATTTGAAATGTGATCATAGACTTTCTAGGGAATCAAAACTGATATTTCCTTCTATTAACTTTCACAGCAAGTGCATCTTGTAGTTCTTTCCATGTCACGGCCTGTAGATGTGCTATCTTTTTGCCATTAACAAACTGTGAAACTTTTCCATTGTTGGACTTTTTCTTAATTCAGCCATTTTCCTATTAGTGACATTAAGATTGCAGCTTTTTTATATTACAAACAATGCTACAGTGAAGTCTGTACCCATTTAAGGTGCACTTTAAACTTTAATAACAACTCATCTCCTGAAAGGCTATCCTTAAACTCTCAACAATGAACAGAAACCATTTTTCCTACTGCCTTCCAGCAAATTAAAGCAGCCTTTAAATTAAAAGTTGACAATAACATAGGCAATTATTTTTTTAGTTTGTGTTTTCCAGTTAATAGACTGGCCATCTTGTAACTGATTCATCGACTATCTGTATTATCTTCTGTAAACTTTGAAATTACTTTTGTTTGCCCATTGATCTAATGGGTTAACTTTTTGATTCATAAGCCCACTTTATACTAAAAACATCAACATTTGTCTATTAAAATCTGTTGTCTCTTAATGTGTACCCCAAAAAAACCTGTTTTTGTTTTTTTTTTATTCTTTTGCCTTGGGAAACACTACAGACAATACTGTCAGATTTATCAGTGCTTTTCTTTGTGGCTCTTGGCTTTGTGGCTTCCTTAAAGGAAGCTCTTTACCATCCTCAGCTTTATTTTAAAAGATACCTATAATTTTTCACTTTTTGTGTATTGGTCCCTTTTTTAAAGATAGGTCCTTAATCCATTTGAACATTTAATATTGTATATGATGTAAATTAGTGCTTAAAGTGAAAGAAACTGGTCAAGACAAAGGTTTGGATTCAAACTGATATACCATGTAGCTTTTGAGACATTGGTTGCTTCTAGTGGCTTCTTTTTTCTTTTTTTCACCACTATTCTAAAGTAAGCATTCTGAACCTTTGTGTGTCTAGTTATGTTTCATTTTTATGTACATAAGAAGCTATATTTCCCATAATTTTTATTGAAAAGATGGACTGGGTTGCCAAAAAATGGAAGAAAGAAAAGAGGAAGACAGGAAGAAAAGTTGAAGAGTGGGAGGAAATGGGAAGAGGTGATTTTGAAAGTGTATTGAAATAAGTAGGTGAAAGTCCTGTGCTTTGGGGATTATGTCTAAGTTCATTAAAACCAGTTCTTTTTCCTAGTTACTGTTCCTTGTACTTGACAGTTGAAACAGGCCTGCTTTTTTGTTTATTTCATTAGGTTAACTGATGCAGACTCTGACAATTTCCCAGTTAAGATCGCCTTGGAAATCTCTCACAGAGATTCATTTGAAGCTTTTTGCAAATATTCAACTACAATTAGAATTAAGCTTTTCAATGTCCATTCCAGAGTGATATATCTATATCAGAAAGCAGAAGGAGAACTGTACTAATTACGTGTAGTTTGGAAACTCCTGCCCACCTCCAGAAGAGTTTTCTGGAATCCCCAATTTATACAAGTCTGGCCATCTTGTAATTGATTCATTGAATCAATTGAATAACAAGTGAGGGCAAGAACTCATGAGGTATATGTCTGTTGCATTCTTTATAGGTTTTCTTAATCTCAGGTTTTCCCATCTTTAACTGTGTATCCATTTGACTTAACCAAATTAGTCTTTGATAGCATCCTGGTATTTGGACTTTGTAATTCTTGCTCTGGTTCAAGAACCAGCCATGCACAAAAGGAGCCCTGGTTTCAGTGGTAGGAAATGTTCTTGGTAGTTACAGCCTTGGAGCGAATTTATCCACTGTTATTGGGTTGCCGTTGTTTCCTGGCCTTTAATAAATATTGCCAAGAAATACATAGATTTAAAGAAAAAAATATCATGCAGTCATGCTATTATTTCCAATTCAATGTTAGTGCTCGGGATTTTTACCTCTTTGATTTTGTATTGATATCTTTAAGCTGAAAGTCTTGGTTCCTAAACTACACTGACATAATTACTTACATTGTCCTGTAGTGTGTTTGCATCTGTGTGATCCTTCTAAAAAAAGCAACCGTTAGTAGACACCGTGGTAACTAACAAACTACAAAGCAGAAGTTTAAGGTTTTTTTCATTCGTTGAAGTTTTTCTTCTTAACATCTGTTTTATGAGTGTCCCATATGTTTTGTTTGAAAGTCTCTTGAAAAAGGATTCTTTCCTATATATAATTATGTCACCCATTTGACATATTGCCTGTCTTGTTTGATTTTCAGTTTTGAACAGTTGCTTTGTTTTTTATTTCATTTTTGAGTAAAATATTTGCCTTTCCAAAATTACATAACTAGCTTTATTCAAAGATGTCCTAATATTCCCTCTACTGTTCCCTTCCTCCTGAAAATAAAGTTGTGTTAGTATTTGATTTTACCATGTAACTCCTATTCAGCATATATACAGGTAGTTCTCTACCTATTCAGCACCTTCTTTTCAAGGTGAGTTTCCATTAGAAAGATATAGGCATGTTTGAAAAAGACACATCAATCATTGCATAACATGTTTATTAACTGTCAACATTCATTCTTTAGTGTTTTTGGTTTGTTCTTAATCTTATTGAGGTTTTTCACTTTAACAAGTAATACTGAATTTTTTTTAAAAAAGATTCAGAATGCAGCTGGTGGGAATGCAAACTAGTACAACCACTATGGAAAACTGTTTGAAGGTTCCTCAAACTGCTTAACATGGAGCTTCCCTACGACCCAGCAATCCCACTCCTAGGTATCTACCACAAAAACACAAAAACACTGATTCAAAAAGATAACCAGCACCCCCATGTTTATTGCTGCTGTTTACAATTGGAAAGACATGGAAGCAGCCCAAATGCCCAAAAGTAGATGACTGGATTAAAAAGATATGGTAGATTGGCCCTCCCTGGTGGCGCAGTGGGTTAAAGCACTGCCCTAAGAAGTTTAAGCCACTTCCGCATGAGTTCGATCCCTGCCTGCCCCGGAGGAGATCCACATGGAGTGGCAGACCTCTCCTGACCTGCCCACTGCTCCCCTCAGCAGTGGACTTCGTCGATCTGCCTATTCTGCTCCCCACTCTCTCTGGTGAAGCCTCTCACCCTCCATATCTCCGGCCTGTACTCTAGTTCTGTATGAATAAATAAATAAATCTTTAAAAAAAAAAAAAAGATATGGTAGATATACACAATGGAATATTACTCAGCAACCAAAAAAAGAAACACATGTCTTTTGCAGCAACATGGTTGGAGCTAGAAAAGATCATGCTTAGTGAGATACCCCAGAAAGAAAAAGGAAAATACCAGATGGTTTCACTCATAGCAGGAGTATAATGGACCAGGCAAGAAAATAATAATAATAATGAACAGCCATATACCAGAAACATTTTATGGGGGTGGAGTGGGGAATGAGATCAAAAAATGTGGGGGCAGGAAAGTGCATTGTACTATGGTGATGGCACGTGGGTGACTTGGTAATGGGAAACCCATGGGGATTACAATTGAGATGAAAAAAATATGTACAAAATGATGTAAAAATAATAAAAAAATAAACTATTATATTAAAATTTAAAAAATGATAAAATTAGGATTAAAATTTTAAAAAGATTCAGAATGCAAAAGTGTAGCATAAAAGTTTATTCACACATTTATCATATACTCAAAATTACTTGTTTACAGTGGAACATCTTCTCAGGCCTTTCTCTGTGTGCACTCAAACATGTTATGGTATTTAACTTTTGAATTGTTAAGTGAATTTTCAAATTACTGTGCTTTTTTAATCTCATGATTTGCTAATTTCTAGATATGAGACAATTGATAAAACTCAAGTACAGTCAAAACAATAAAGGAAGCATCCAGTATCTCTAATTGTAATTCTAAAAATGAAGCTAAAAAAACCAAGTTACTAGATATGTTTTACTAAACAGTTACTTTTAAATACAAATTGGTATTATTAGCCATAAATTATTTATGAACTGTAGGTTACTCAGGTATGATCCACTAAGTTTTCTCTTTATTTTTATCATTTATGATGTTTTTTTTCTTGAAAATGTTTTATCTTGAAAATTGTAATGGAGGTTGTTGTTTTCTGAGCATTTTTACAAAAATGTGTAAATCAAAAGATTTCCCATTTTTTTCCATTTGCTCAGTTTACTTTAGTGCTTTCTTTTCCCTGTCCTCCTCAAACAAAAGCTCTAAATATTCTTTCTTATATTATTCCCAAGGCTTATAACTGTGATTTGGAGGTCATTTTATCTATTTGCTTCATTTGTTCAATTTTCTTCTTTCTAGGTATTTTTTGATTTAATGAGGGAAATCCGAGCCAGAAAAATGGAAGACAGCAAAGAAAAGAATGGGAAAAAAAAGAGGAAAAGTTTAGCCAAGAGAATCAGAGAAAGATGCTGCATTTTATAATCAAAGCCCAAACTCCTTTCTTATCTTGACCATACTAATAAATATAATTTATAAGCATTGCCATGGAAGGCTCAATTGACTGAAATTACTTTAACATTTTGGAAAATGTTATGTATCACTAAAAGCATGAATTGGAACTTCACTGAAAGTCAAATTCACTTAAAAAGAAATTTTTGTGGCTTCACCAAGAAGCAGCATTCAACTTACTTCATAATTGCCTACATTTATCACGGTCCTGAATGTAGCGTGTGAGCTTGTGTTTTGCAGGCAGTCTCTTTTGAACTGTTACAAAGGTGACATGGTGGGGGTGGGGAGTGGGAGGAAAGGCTACTTCCTCTGGTTTATTATAAAACTTCAATTTTATATCATTTAAAAATGTCTTGGTCTTCTACTGCCTTGAAAAAACGACAGTTGTGAACATGATAGTTAAACTGTACCACTTTTTTAACCATTGTTATGCAAACTAGAAGAAAAAGTTACTGGCATGATTGTTGCATATAGTGAAAGTGAGAGTAATTCATCTGTAACCTGCATTAATTACCTGGTGATTAACTTTTAAAATATGGTGTAAACTTGTACATGGAAATTTTTGAATATGCCTTAATTTAGAAACCGAAAAATACCTGGTTACATCTTTCTGGGTATGTCCTCACTGGCCATGGGCCCATTATCCCATGTGTCTTGGTGAGAGAACGAATGCCTGGTATGGATACAACTTTTGTGTAGAAGATTCCTGAGAAATAACTGATAGCAATCTGTCCAAATTTAAAATGTGTGCCATACTCTGGTTCTTGAGTTCCAGAGCTCCTTGATTGCTTTTGATTAACCATAAGGTAGTTTAAAATGATGGGCCAGCATAAACTTGTAAGAAAATTTTAGACTGAGGATTCAGCACCAGTTATGTTTCAGTGAACCCTCATTTTCTTTAAGATGCTGGTCCCTGGAACTTCCTTTCTGCAAGTGGTAGGCATCTGTTTTTAGTCTCCTTAGAGTGCAGTACAGGAAACATGTCGATGTGCTAATGCATTAGCATACTTGCAGGAAAATATTCATGCTTGCCACCTATTGATTTCTAAATTTATACTCATAAGGTTACAGTTTGGCTATATGGAGTTCTTAGGAATATTTGTAGGAATATTTGTGTTCAGAATGAAAAACACTGTAGCTCCATTTTCTTCAAATTCACATCAAGCAGTCAAGCCCAAGTATAGAAAAGAAAACAGTTTTAGCTAACACAGGCCAAACCTGTTGTTAGCATTGTTGGTGTACCCACTGGGAGGATTCTGCCGTGCTGGTGATTTTAATGGGAAGTGTACCATTGTCAGATTTTTCTTTCTTCTGTCAAATGGGGTTACTTCCTAGTAGGACAGTTTATTCAACAAAGTTTTTCTTTTTGCTTAGTCCTAATTTCAACAAGTCAAAGATGTGTTCAGGCATTCCAGGTAATGGGTATGTATGTAACGTTAATAAAAATAGGCTTTTTAGGAATTCAACTGTTTAGATATTTCATCCAGCTTGTCATGTTAAATATTTGTTCTTAAAGGGTTTGAGATGTACATCTTTCATATTTTTCATAGGCTATGCCATGTGCAGAATTACGGTTACCAATGTAACACTGGCCCCGTGGGCCCAGCGGTCTCCATGTGTTCGCATTGCAGTCTGATTTAACCAGGGGTCCTAACCACTAACATTGTGACTTTGCTTTGAGACCTTTCCTCTCCTGGGTACTGAGGTGCTATGAAGCCAACTGACAAAGATGCATCACATGTCTTAGGCTGATGCCACTACCCAATTGGTTTATTTGCAATTTGAGCCATTTAAAGACCAATAAACTTCCTTTTTTAAAAATGTTTGTGGTGTTACTTAATGTTCACAACATGACATGTAACATTCAGCTTTATCAACGTAGGACCTTTACTAGAGTTTAGAAACAGCTAAATCTTTTTGAGTTATCAGGTTAGGGAATTCTTTTGTGCTAGTGCCAGATTTCCTAAATAACTACCATCATTGCTTCGACGTAATCAAGACTCAGAAACATAAGAATCCCATGTGTATGATTACATAAAAGCTAGTCTTAGGCTGTTGTGAAATAATAAATGTGCACATTTTACAGCACTACTAAACTCAGGAATGAATATGTGACAGCTTTATGTTCACTTTCTAATTAGAATGATCCCCAGAGACTATTTAGTTTCCAAATTGTGGCAGGAATATCTGCCCTGTTCCCATCTCACCCAGCTTCCAGGCCCTTCCTTCAGGCTTGCTGTCATGGCAGATAGTGACATATTAATTAGTCAGTAAAGGCCTGACCCAGCCCCTGGGTCAGGAATGGTCCTGCTCAAAATTGAGTACAGCCTTTCAAAATCTAATTCACTTTCATTTCTTAACTTATAAGCAATGCTGGAATGAGTACAATTAAGTTATAATTAGAATAATTTAACCTCACCATATGGACCCATTAACAGTGTAGTGTATGATACTAAATATTATGTACCAAACAATGGTTATTAAGTTTAGTCTCAAACTGAATCAGAATACCATCTCAAAATTTTCGTGACAGGAATATAAAACAATATCTTGTCACTTCTGTTAACCACCTTAGCAGTAAAACTATCAAAAATATTCAACAGTAGTTCCTGTCAAGTTTTTAAAGTATTTTTTTAATCCAGGGTTAGACCTATCTCCTTTAGCAAATTACTTTGTAAGTCAAGAACGACAAATAGATGTCTTCGTTCATGCCTATAGTTTTTAGTAGATATTTATGGATTACCTATAATACAGGGCACTGCTGAGAATATACAGATCAAAGACAAACATGAGTTAGGACTAGTTACAATGATTCACACTGAAGAAAGTACCCATGGATCAAGAGGGCAAGTTTCCTTTATAGTTGTCAACATATATAATAACAATAAATAGCAAAATATTTAATATTAACCCTATGTTAATAATATGGTAGATGGCTTTCATTAACCCATATTTTGCAGGAGAAGCAGAGAGCAGTTGAAAAACTTGCCCAAGGCCACAAAGCTAGTAATTATGAACTAGGATTGGAAGCAAAGTCCTCAGACTTCCAAGCCACTGTTCTTAATTGCTGAACAATGAAGCAGAAGCAGAATGGAAACGAGAATTATTCATTTACTATACCGAAGTGAGAAACACCCAAGATTTCCCCAAGACTGAGCCAGGTATTCAATGATTGACTTCAAAAGCTTGCAAGATTGCTGTAGACTGAAAAGAGACCACTTGTGCTTACAACCTGGCTGCTAAGAAATCAAGTGTGGAGGGAGCTTGGGTAGGGCTCATCTGTGGTGTAGGGTGTGACAATGCTTTTCCTATAGCAGTAAAGGGGAAGCATTCCTTTGGAAGGCCAGCAGATTGCATCTCATGTTTCTTAACTGTAAAATAATGTCTCAGTCCGTAGCACCAGCAGCTGTTGTGGACAAAAGCCTGAAATGTAAGACTAAGGAAGGAAGGTTTGGTCATAGTCTCAGTCCTTACAGAAACCACCTCTGGGGACAGGAGCATTTAGCATCTGTGTGCAAGAGGCTATGAGACCTGTGGTAAATTCTATGGCAAATCTGATAAAACAACAAGTTTGTTTTTATCAAAAGATTAAAGAAAGGGTCCTCCCTGATGGCACAATGGGTTAAAGTGCAGCACTATGAAGTTCTCTGCAGCCACTGCAGCAAGAGTTCCATCCCTGGCCCTGGAGGTGACCCACGTGGGGTGGCAGACCTCTCCTGCCCCGGCCTACTGCTCCCTTCAGCAGTGTACTTCAATACCTCTGCCTGTTTTGCTCCTCACTCTGTCTCTGGTGAAATCTCTTAACTGCCCCTCCCCCCAAACTTCTGGCCTGTACCCCAGTTCTTGCATGCATAAGTAAATAAATCTTTAAAAAATAAAACTGAAGAAACAAGTGTTCAAATGCTCACAAGCATCTAACAGAAAATACTCTTTAAGAGCAAGAGCAGACTGCTGAGACAGAAGAAAAAAAAAAAGATCCAAGACTTGTTGAATTGGGAGGGAAGGGAGCAAAAATCAGAACTCCTGGGCCTCTGCTGGAAAGGAACTTTCTGGGGAAGTGCAGCAGGATGTGAGAGTTGCACATCACCTGATAGCATTGTTTACAGCATGATCTTTGAGGAGGATGCCAGACTCTGCAGGAAGATACATAGATGGTTTTTCTACAGTCTTAGAATTTGGCTTAGAAGGGGCCTTAGAAGCAGTTTCCTTTGTCTACAGGCCAGCAGAGAGGAATGACTTGCACAAGATTGCACGAGTAATGTAAGAACTTGGATAGAGTGCAGGTCTCTTCTGTCTTCTGTTCCAGCTCTTCCTGTTTACCTTACTAACTGTGGAAGGTGGGGGTGCAGTGATGGGGGGAGGGACTGAGGGTGCTTTAAGTGGTGACAGCTGACAGGTGGTAGACTGAAGATAATCACAGCCAGATGAACTGAACTTCACATATGGTCTCCATTTCTCAGTGGCCTGCGGTTACTTTCAGGAACTCAGGAGCTCAGGAATACCTCGATGAGATCTGGGCACAAAGTATGAATGTCGTGGAAGGAAAGACAGTTCAGAGATACAACCTCTGGTTCCTTCCAGCCTCACTGAAGTCCTGAGTAGAGAGGCAGGCTTAGGGATAATGAATGTGGGCATGAATATTCTCTGCCCCCTGTATGACTGACTGCTCCAGCCTAGAAGCCTTCAGCACTACTCATTAACTGAGGGATCACACCAGACTTCAGTGTTTTGACCTTGCTTTATCCAGAGCACAGGGTTGAGCTTTACAGAAAAATCTTACTCCCCAAGAGCTTTTTTAGGGCAAATTGTATCAGCTCCAAGAACTTGTGGTAAGTTTAATTAGCAAACTCTATTACTTAGGAGGTGAGTGAGGTTGCATTTTGGGGAGATATGGAAAAATTCAATGATTCAAACCACCAAAATGGAATAATAGCTATCTTCACCTTGAGTGACCACTTTCGTGATCAGTTTGCATCACAAATCAATTTTTTGGAATGGTCATGAATAGAGCATGGGGGTGGACACTCAACACTCCTGAAATCTCAAAGTGATAAATTGTAAATATCAAAAACAAGTGGTTGGAAATGACAAAGCATGTTGAAATCAGCTTAATTGTGATGCATAAGTTGCCTTTATATTTATTTTGATATAAATATCCATAATTTTGAATCAACACAAGATATTATTTAATAGGAAAAAAAAATTAAGACAAAGGTGAGCAGTGTCTTGTGGAAAAGTTAGCCCCCAACTACACAATCCAAGTTACTCTGTCCTGCCACCCCCGCACCCTGCACGCTTCCAAACAGAAATGAAAACACTCAATTCGAGACAATCAGCAACCACTTTGGGAGCCTGACCCTCTACGGAGAAGGTCAGCTGTGTGTTTTCTGATACCAGATAAAATTTCCCAGGAGAAAGGAGAAGTCATTGTTCCCAATGGACCTTGGAAAGTCAGCCCACTGCCAAGACTGCAGCCTTGGCAGGCAGCAGCAGAGGCGAGCTCCTGGGGCTGTAACCTCTAAAACCAGGAGCACAGTCCCAGCTTCTGGGAAGGGAACCTCTAAACCAGGGAGCAAGGTCCTTCTATTTCGTGACAGACTGTTCCTTTCCTTGTTCATTCATCAAGTGTTATCTCTTTTGTTGAGGTATCAGTTTACAAAGCCATAGTATAGGTTTCAGAACTATGCTTTTTCACCTTGGCAACTGTCAGGACTCATGGAATCCACTGCGGGGCAATGTCCCCCTTCACCCACTCCCTGTCCCTTCTTCCCCTCTGGTAACCACCTTTCTGTTATCAGCACAAGAGTTTCTTTTTTTAATTGTCTTTTTGCCTTTTTTATTTATATCCACAAAGGAGTGACTCATTGGTCATTAAAAGTGTCTTTCACTTTCTGACTTACTTCACTTTGCATAATCCCCTCTAGTGCCATCCATGCCATCCCAAATGGCAACATTTCATCTTTATTTACAGCTGAATAACTCCCCATTGTTTATATGTAGCACATCTCTACCCATGCTCTCATCATCAGTAGTCTCCTCTCGTGGGGCTTTTCCATATTCTGATTCTTAGAAACGTGCTGCTAAGAACACAGGGGTGCATATATATTTCCATGTTCAGGTAACTGCCAATAAGTGGAACTACTGGATCATATAGAGTAACTCTGTTTTTGGAGAAGCCACCACACTGTTTTCCATAGTGGCTGCACCAGTTTACACCGCCACCCCCAACAGCACACAAGGGGCTCTTTTTTTCTACATCCTCACCACCACTTCTTATTTCCTGACTGGTTGATGAAGCCACCTCCCCACTAAAGTGGAATCTCATTGTGCTTTTGACTGCATTTCCCTAGAACGTCCTTTCCTGTATCTGTTGGCCATTTGAATGTCTTTAGTAAAATGTTTATGCAAATCCTCTGCCCATTTTAAAGTTTGCTTTTTTGTTGTTGAGTTAGTTGTACAAATTATTTGTATATTTTAGATATTTCCCCTTCTCCAATAAATCGTTTGCCGTTAACTTCTCCCATTCAGTAGACAGCTATTTATTTTAGCAGTTGTTTCTTTTGCCATCCTGAGTGTGATCTGGAATATGGAGTCTTCTAGGAATGGCTGGAAGGGCCAGGCTCAACTCAGAGCGCCAGGTAACCAAAGCTCTTTTTCCTCCCAGGTGGATTTGATAAGCTCAGTTTGGCTGTTTCTGGGCAAACCCTGACCAAGCCCAAGCCCAAGCCCCTACACATGCTAGGGCTTTCTCGAGTGGGCATGGCTTTGATAAAGAAGCAACTTCCAGCTCCAGAAACCATTTGAAGATAGAGATTACATCTTTTTCATTTTAATTT